AGTGTTATAATCTTATCAACTTACTCCTCCACAAGCCTCCATGGGTCAAATGTTCCGTATGCCCAGTGTGACGTGTTCTTAAGGTGGTGCTCAAAGCGCCCTCTATAGTCTCTGATGCGATTCATCGCATCACTAGGAATGAAGAGCGGAAAGCTTGGCCTGTCGAGCCCAGGTCTGGTGCCAGACTTCCTGCTGTTGGACAGGCTACCTGGTCTAGCTGCTGCACTGCCTTTGTTGTCCAGCAATGTGTGCAGGATGTTCATCGAGTGCGTTTGGCCAGGAGTTGCTCCTGACACACGACTGACAGACCTGTCAGTATCTTCTCGAGAGAGAAAACCTTTTTCCTGTTTAGAATCCATTTCGGTGACTTGTACATCGTTTTCTGCTAAAGACCTGATGCCAACATCATGGTCGTCCCTGCTATACAACAAATATGTCACCTCGTCAGTTTGTAATGGGATTTTTGTGCCTCTTGAGGATTTAGCTTTGGAGATGCTGGGCTGGGATCCTGGAGCATCCTGAGAATGTTGATTTGTGAACTGCATGGCAGTGTGGGCAGTTGGCACGTCACCTGGGAAACTGGACAAGACACAACTTGTTCAGGTAAGTCTCGTGTTAAATCCATTGAGACAGGGCCTGTCACAAAAATTTGCCTTTCACGTTAATGCTTGTCAATTACTAGCACTGTATGACAATTTTAAGGAAATTCTGTGGAGAGTACATTCTTTCCAATGTCTGCTGGTTACACTTTCCAAGAAATGGAAAAAGGCTTTGTGAGCAGAAAATTGTGTTCTTGGCAGTGTCATGGATTTGGACAAAGCCCATGACCAAATTACATGGCTGCGGCTTTAAATAATACATGCTTTTATGGAAGCCACTATATCTTGCATCTGAAGTCACTTTCCCCGTAGAAGGCTAATTATATCTGGTTCATTTGGACATGGCTTAGACTGATTCTGCAAAGTGTAGAATAATTCAGAGATTTTGCTTTGCGGATGGATGTGGCTGAGAAGTATTTCTTCATTACCTTTCAAGGAACTCTCCATCGAGGGGAGTGCCCAACATCCACCCAACCTCCTTCTGGTGGATAGAGTCTGTAAGAAGCTCCTCCTGGTTGATGTATTCCACTCGCCTCCACCGCCTTCTTATTTCATCTTCCATAAGCTGTCCAAAGACAAAAATTCCCTTAATTGTGGTGAGAGGTCCTGAACGGATTTATCTGCTGAAATGAAATAACATCTGCCTCTACGCTTTGGAAATTACTTGTGATGGGCACATCTATACCTTACAAAATACCTCACCGACAACCAGACGCAAAAAGCATTGTACTGCCCACAGTGAGCATTCCACTATATTTCGCACCTCCATCTTTTCCAGTGACTGCAGCATCCCTTCCACAGTGGGACCATCTTGAAGCTGTTGGGCCTGCCGCTCAAGCTGATCGTCTCGTTCGATGCGATGAAACTCCAGGGCCGTGTCGGCCAGTATGTCCTCAAGGAGGAGGTCGCTGAGGAGGTCCGCATTATTGCTGGTCTGGGAAGTCAAAGGGATTCTTGTCAGCAGTGAGCACTGCTTGAAATCACAAGGGGTGTGGTCACTTTTGCCAGATCCTAGGGGTGGAGGGATAACAGAGGCACAGCCCTCTCGGGGAAAGTTTTTGTTTAAATATGGAGGATAGGTCATTTTGTTTTGGACTGTTTCATTGCCCTGCCTTTCAAAACTGAAGCTCACTCCTCTGAAAGGCCATAAGGTTAAATAACAACATTTCCCCATGTTTGGTCCCCCCTTTAGTTCTGGGTCCAATTTGAGGCTCAACCCATGAAGCTATACCTTTGAGCCAAATCCTGCCTACCTTTGGGAACGCTGTGACATTTTGTTAATGTGCATCCCTTTTTATGCCCGGTAGCAAACTGCTTGTTTACATGGACGTTTGCTCAGACCCTTTTTCAATATTCCAAAATCCAATCATGTTCAAAAAATCTAAGGCAATAGTGCTCAAATTTTGGTAGGATCAAGGTAACAGTGGCTTGTTCCTACATTTCTCAATCCTGCCAATTTCACTCTAATCTACCGGTGATTTCTGAAGTGTCTAGCAGGTCTCACTTGATACCATAAGCAGCACGCTAGTGTGTGACCTACTGATCTAAGCATAGCTTTAATTTAGTTACACTTACAGCTTGTACTGCCCTCTCGGATAGCTGGTGACGTAAGGATTGCTTGGTGGAATTTTGGACATGCTGCTGTTCTTTTGCAGTAGCCTGAAGGGAAAAAGGCCGAGACCGATCTTTAGAAGTGCTGAAAATGTGGTGCCATTTAGATATCATTTATGTTCCTTCGAGTCAGATCAGTCAGAGACAACTGTTATTTGAGGGTTACATACGCTGCTGTTTCACTGCTCTACCCAGGCCATGTGTCGTGCTCGTGAAAATAAGTTGACTGTTTGCCACTTTGCATACTGCCTTCAGGATGCAATTGCAAATAAGAGGGTCTCTTATGGGGGAGGGTACACATTTGTGTACGGCTTGCTTATCTCTTAATTTTATGTCTGGCAGGACGGGTCACAGTAACCAGGGATTGCACGGTGATGAGTATATTCTTCTCTGGTAGAGTAAGTGAAACTCTTTTTATGTTTGATATACTGGCGGGATGTCGCATACCATCTGCCAAAAGCAACCAATGCAGGACTTTGTTTTTTTAATCTCCTCAAAAACGCATGGTCCATTTGTCCCTTGGGTGTGTATTAAAAAGGACCACTTCATGACAAGCTTCTGTGACAACCGATCATTGCACTCCTGCAGTCCACGTTGGAAACCCTCACCTCCGCTTTATCAATGAGGGGACGGAGTCGGGCAGTGAGAGCTTGTTCAACTGTCTCCAGCCAGCCAGGAGGAACAGGAGGGTAGCCATTCTCCTCCCGTCCATGCTCCAGATGCTTCATCTGCAGTGAGACAAGAACAAGTCTCTCCTAAAACTTCTCACTCGACTGTGTAAGTAACGGAATCGATACTCACAAAATATACGCTGCATTCCAATCAGGTATGCCCTTTACAATGAGCCAGTCTGGTGTTCCCACTGCAAACACACACTTGTAAAGGTCTTTCCGTTTTTTTAGAGGGGTCCAGAGCGTGTACGCCTAGAGCATGGCCCAGTGATGTGGGAGTGCTGACCTGCCTCTCCATTTGTCGACGTGATGCATTTTCCTTTCAGAGAGCTGGGTTGACTTTCCTTTGCTTGATCACAGACCACTTTCCACAAAATATTGGGCATAAACACTGTAAGCAACCCGGGCATGAATTCTGGGGGAGGAGGGGCATGTGATATCGCCCTCCTTTTTAACCAGGGTTAGTCCCCTCTCCCAACTGTATTGGTCGAGAGAAACAAACAACTTCATATTTTTAGGTTATGAAAATCCACTGTACTGGTCATGAGAAACAGAAACAAGTAACACTTTTAGGCGATAACTTTTCAACAGCGCGTATGCAGAACAAACAGTAAGGCATACATGATTGTGTAAGTAAATGTGTACATGAGATAAGCCTCTGTGTCTTTGATACAGCCCCCTATTGTAATGTTGTGTCCGCACTATTCCACTCGCCAGCAGGGATTTATGCCACGGCTGGTACAATCAGAAGCACTTGGAATTTTGCATTTCCTCCTAAGACAAGAGCTTCAAACTTTTTCTCAGAGTGCTCTGACCATCATGAACGGAATTCTGAGCTTGCTGACCTGCTTGGCTGCTTCCCTGTCTAGCCAGGCCTGTCTGGCTATCTCCCTCTCCATCATATCTGGATCCAGTCCCCGCTCTCTGTCACTCCCTACGTCCTTCCTGCTCCCGCTCTCCTTCTCAAGGTTGAAGACAACTTTTCTCCTTCTTGCTGAGTTGTCTCTGCCTGCTGAATCAGACAGACAACAAGGTTTTGATACGTGACTGCACATTACGCAGTCTCCTTTCAGGGAGCTGTGGATCTTCTTTAAACCAGTTGCCAATGCTATTATTCGGCAACTAACTTGTCCCTTTGCAACATGACAAGATACAATAACCACACACCTTTATAAAGGTGGAATTTACAAATGCTGACCTTTGGTGGTCATTTGTGCAAGGTTTGTGCGACATCTCTTACAGCATCATTGCTTTTGGTGAATCAGACACTATGTTACAGAGTGATATTTGTCTCAATAGAGGGATCCCAATACAACGCTTTTTGCGTCGATATGCGCACTTCCACAAAACGAGGCTGTATGTGTCAGTTTCAATTCTCAATACGATCAGACGATTGAAAGTAAGGAGTCAAGACAGAAATACATAAAAGTATGTTAAATTCAGACTTTTCAGGCTGCAAATTTTTGTGGAAGAGTCTTACAGGATGACTCCAAACGTAAAATCAAAAGAAAAAATGACGACAATTTACCGCGAACTAACGTACCTACGATAGTCGTGTATCTTGTGCAGTGGGCGTGGTTAAAACTGAAGTTAGCGTCACACTTATGAACGGGATACTCCATGTACTGTGTCGACTCCGCGGGCGCACGGGATCAAGTTCAACACAGAGAACCTCGGTTTCGATGCAGATATGCGCAGACGGCGCTAATGTGAAATCCCTCTATGTCCTGCTAACAACTTGTGGCCCCCTGAAGGTAGCGCGTGTGCTTAGCTGATTTGGGGGAGTTCAAGACTCTGTGCTCGCACAAATTTGATGTATTTGATGTATAGGAATGAGTATACACCTCAGCCAGTATTGCATAAAGAATTTACAAGGACATTTTCAAACATCCTCCCTTTCACAACACATGAGATTCTCAGGTGTTTATGCATCATCCAGCACAAAGTGGCTCACTTGTCAGAGCTGCATATTTCTATGCTCTAGTACCTAAGAAAAGCTACAATACCCTCCTGCATTTTAAAATTTGAACAAGAGCTTTATTCAACAGGTGGATGACGTGAAAGTACAGAAGAATGCCACCTTACAAAGCTTACCCTGAGAGGACACTCTTCAGTTACACAAGAATACTCCAACACAGTTTTAATGACCGTACTGAATTCTGATATGCAGGTCTGTCTATCAAGACTCTGCCTTTTGCAGACAAATATCATAGAACTTTCCATTCTACAGATATTGCCACTGCCATGCAGGTGTACCGTGAGATACAGTAAAGTATGTTTAGGGCATGCAAATGATAATATCGGAGAAGATATGCAAAAAAAGGGAATTACCCTCCTCTGATTCCTTCTCGTCCTCAGATGAAGCTGACACTGGCCTTGGCCGAGGTAAAGCTTTGTGGAAGCTTCTTGGAGACCCAGGAGGAGTCCAGGTAGGCTTGGCTCTCATGACCGGCCCACCATCCTGGGGTCTGGTCCCAGGGTCCCTGGACGTTGCAATGCCTTGTCCGACCGGTTCCCTGTGCTTGAGTTTGGAGGCCACGGTCTCCTGGGTGAAGTGAGCATCTCGGGGGACCACTCTAACTCGATGAAGCCTCTCCCTTGCAGCCTGTTGAGAAAATTGCAAGTTAAAAAGATAATCTTCAAAATATTGATATTTTTCTATCATTTTCATTGTAATTCAGTGGCTAGATTTTTTGGGGGGAAGCTGTTGAGGAAGTACCCTACGATATGCCTGGATATATAATAAATTATGCATGGCATGATCGACTTCACGTTGATCTGTAGGATGGTGAATTATTAGTAGCCTTCTACCATCATGGCCCATCCAGGTTAGGCTGTGTCTAAATGACTTGGCTGCAGCTTAAAATATGCATAAGTGTGTGGGGATGGCATAGCCACTTCACAAGTTCCCATAGAGTCGTGTGCAATGACAAGCTGCAGCCAAATAATTCAGACACAGCTTCAATCAAGCTGGTAGGTGACACTTCTCCTTACAGCCAGTAAAGAGTTGAATAAATGTGTCACACCTGCTCTTGAGAACAGTGCATACTGCTGTGCATATCTCCTGTGCTTCTGTCAGTCTTCAAGAGATTCTGCCACAAAATGAGAAATGATGCAGAAAAACAGGTCTTTCCAAGTCAGAATTTTAAAAATACCGCTGCCACCTTTGTAGATGCTGGTGCTGTCATGTTTGTAATGCAACAGAGCCTTCTGATAGCTATTAACCAATCTCAACAGTGGTAAAAAAGATGATGGATGAAAAAACGTTTCTGCGTATGTTACTCCCTGCGTCTGCGTCGGAATGCAAAGTTAACAGAATTAAACTGATGATTGTGGATTTATAATTAAAACAAGCTAGCAGTGAAAGGCAAGTCGATATTATTTGTCCTTTTTCAAGCATTCACATTTTTGTCAAAATTGCTATTCTAAGAATTTTGAAACTTTTACAAAAAAGGAAAGAGCAAATACTTCTTTGGAAACAATTTATGGTACTTGCTAGTACATCCGACTCAGACTAGCCCGACAGGCTAGTTTGCCAGGTGGTTGAGATGCCTGCACTAGTAAGCAGGTCATAGGTTCAGGTCCCACCAGTGTAAACTTGTGAATTATTCGCAAGCTCCCAGACAACAATGAATACACAGTGTTATTTGTATATGTCTGTGTAAGTGCACAACCTTTCATTAAAAAGCAAAAAAACAATAACGAGGAATCCTCTTGTGGAGCAAACCTTCAATGCAGCTGGAAGGATAAGGCTCCTGGAGGGTGCTGTGGAGCCCCTAGCAGGTGGTTGCTTGCGTGCCTTGGCGGTAGGCAGCTGGCCTCGTGGCACTGGATTGCTTGTTGCTGGATGCAAAGGTCCAGCTGGCTGCCCCCCTGCCCGGAGAAGGGCTTCTAGCCCTGCCCGTAATGCTGCATTCCTCTCTGGGCTACCGGGCGTCACTACAAGGAGAGAAAGGATACTTTAACCAACACAAATGCCCGGCTCAGACCATATCTACGAACTCATGGCTGTGCTCTGACTTGTTTCAAGTATGAAAATTCAATTTACACATTGAAAAGAGGCCCAAGGCAACCAACACATCAAGCATGAAGGAGACGTGTCGAGTCTTTCCCAAGTTATAAAGGGAAAACCACTTCTGCTGTTTTCATCATAAAGACCTCAACCTTTGACCAAAAGTTTATAATGTCTGAACTTTGAGATCAACAGGGTTACATAACATGAGAGTACACTTTCTGGACTTAGACTTTTCAACTGTGTGGTTGATCAACAGGAAGACACCAAGACCAGCCCGGATATCATATGTGAAGTTGATATGTCAATGAAAGGCAAGATGGAAACAGAGCATCCTTTGGCTTTGCTGGCAGGGCGTAAATGTCATAAGTATGGAGGAGGGTGTGAATGGAGGAGTCTACTTCAGGAACCTGCAAAATCCTCTGAAATCTTTGAGACTCTTGGATGGATTTTAAAGGAAACGGGATGGACCTTAACAGAGAAAATGATAAAGACTCCATCTGTATGCTACCTTTACTGCTCACAACACTTTTTCCCAATCTCTCCACAGTTGCTGGACCCGGTGTGACTTGGGTTGTGGCATGGAGTGGGTCTCTGTCTGTGTCCCTTACAGGTGTCTCTCTTATCCTGTAGTGATGAGGGTTCAGAGCCTTTGGACCTTGTAAAAATTGACAAATAAGGGGGAAAATAATTTTTAAAATGTAATTGTTCCAATGAGCTTACGGGCACTTCACAATTCAAAACTACCAAACATTTGAAGCTGAAAATGAGCAATTTGGAACTCTTAGTAATGTGCATTGTAACAAAGATGTGCTTAAAGAATTTGGTACATGATAAACATTTTCAGTATTTCAACTTGTAAATTAAATGTGCTTATTAGGATTAGCAAGATTTGACAGATTTCAGTTTAGATAGGGATCAACTAATTCAATATCTGCAGACAATACCAGGTACTTCCAGGTACCAAGAAACTTGAAGAAAAATTCTTGTCACTAAGCCAGAATTACAAAACCTTGGAGAGCACCATGGTTTAAGGTGTTTTGTATGCTCCAAATTTTTTAAGGTTTTATCTTCTTTTCAGTTAAGAGAAAAAAAGCAAAGAATGTAGATTCCGTTACTCATTCCAAACATAACTTGTGTGCTGCACATTTCACATAGCGACAACAAAAACAAAATCATATCTTGTCGTGCATATATGTAAAAATTGAGAAACCGAACTGGCTTATTTGTAGCAATGACATACTTGCTTGTCCCTGACTCCCTGACCGACTTGTAGAAGTGGCTGCCCTGTTTGGCGGGCCTCGGGGGGCATCACCCTCAAAGGCTAGCCGTCTCCTCGAGTTGGCTCGGGGCTGGGGGTCATGATTAGCTTTGGGCCTCGGCGGGGTGGAAATTTGCCCTGACAATGCATCTTGGAAATCCTTTAAAAGAAAATGTTAATTATCTCATACAGCCTTCTGAACTTTTATAATCTCTCCTCATTCAAAAGCCAGTATCCCTGTTTGATGTACTGGCTCCTACTCACAGGTTTGACTGAGCACACAATGGTGATGCTTGCTGAAATTTTATTTTTTGCCCAGAATATTAGCCCAACATGTAAACGGGCATTCATCCCCTCCCCCCCCCAAAAAAATGACCATGGAATCTCACCTTTGCCTGCTCAAGTATGTTCAATACCCCTTCTGGGATTCCTGACTCTTCCACATCCAGCTGGGCGCAGCACAGGGACAGCTGTCGAATCAGCAGGGCCAGCTCCTGGTAATGGGGTGGTAGGCCGTTCCCAGGGTCCACCTCTGAGGGCAGGTGGTGAAGGAACGACTGGAGGGCCCTCACGGCACCACGGTGGGCAGCAGCCAGACGGTTAAGGGCTCGACTCTGGTATAAGTCGGGGAGAGACAGGAAACATACATAGCTCAGAAAGTTAACGTAGCACTGGAGGACCAGGCCACAATATTTAAAGAACATGGCTTGTTGGCAGCAAAATGCGTCACTTCTTGCTGTGAACCTTCGAGCTATAGAGTCAGTGCAAAAGTAAAGCAAGGTCTATTATCATGATAAAAGCCGACTCTGCCATTAGTCAACTGAAGACAGAAAACCTGAATATGTGGTGGAAATTGAGGGGCCAACGCCCCCCCTCCAAATATAACATGTTGATTGGTTGTTAGGTAAATGTTGCACTTCTAGCTTGTGACCCTTTCAGCAACCTGAAGAGAAATGTCTAAAAGAAAAGTTAGATACATAACTAGGGAAAATGCAGTTAAATACAATTGTTTAATCACACAAACTAGCTTTCCTGTGACATGTACATGTATGTTCTATAATTACTGTAAAAATCAGTTATTACCTTTTTAGTGTGTCTGACTTTTCCTGGTCCAAGCTTATCCAGTTCTTCTTGAATTTCCCGCACCTTTGAAAGACAAAATTCTGGGCTGAGTAATTCAGATATACTGCATCTCACGCTTGAATGTGTCTTGTTTATATAAATAGGTATAGCTTTGTAATAAAATAATTTCTCACTGAATCAATTTTGACACCATTTTAGCCAAGAACCTCTTCGGAACAACGCTTTCTATCAACTGCCATTCAGAGAGATGTGTCTAGCGAATCTTGTGTGTATCTTACCACCAGTTATTTAGCAAGTGGTTAGTGTGGGCTTGAGTGCGCAACCAGAAAATCAGGGTATAACAGGTGCTTCATGATCGGTGACTTTTACATGTACGCCATCAACACACCCACGCAAAGTTCTAGCATGTGCATATATGTACCTGTTGCTGGAGAGAGTAGAGGAGCCTGGCTGAGCGGCTGGCCTGCTCAGCAGCCCGGGCTGCTCTTCTTGGGTCATCTTCTACAACCTCTGCATCCTTCTTGGCCATCTCCTGACTAGGCCGAGATGCTGAGAGAAATCAATACAAGAGTGGTGGTTCATGAGAGAGGGCTGCATGGAAAAACTGGTGCACAGACTAAACTCACACAAATCAAAGACTATCTGAGAAAAATGTATTAGTTTGAGAATAGCCATCAAGAGACTAGAGAATGCATATGTCATTGCGCAAACAGTTCATGGTGTCAAAAACTGAATTAATCAAAGAAAGGGAATTAGGATACGGACAGGTGTAGCAATTTAGGGCATTTTATTGCCCATAACACCAAAGACGGTACTTCCTTATCAGCAACTTACTGACAGCGTGAGCCTGTTGATATACATCTAAACAATACCCCCAAAAAAGAAACCCTGAAAACTAACCCAGACAGTTTTTAACGTAATCTTTCCCATGCCAAAAACTCTTATTACCCAAAGGGAATAAGAGTTAGTGAAACACTCTCAATAAGTCAGCGGTGTATATGTGCACATACATTTGCTGGTGTTCAAGTAATGAAAGCTAGCTAAAGCATATTGTATCCTGCACAGCGTCCATGTCAGGGTACGCCTGAGTACCTTTGATTGACAACTCCTCCACTTTCTTCATGTAAGTCTTAAGCTCTGAACGGAGTCGCCTGATCTCCTGGACCTGTCGGCTTTTGGGACTCAAGGCAACCTCTCCCGTGGGAGGGGACAGCTCTTCCCTCTTGGTATCACCATGCTGGTGCTGTTTGGTACTCAAAAAAAGCCTGTGTGTACTAACTGGTTGCAAGACAATGGCATCCTTTGTGTTCTTTGTTTTGGAACGGTGAGTCTGGGTTTCTATCGATCGTTGACTTTCATTTGGGTCGGTAAACCGTTCTTTGAGCTTTGTGGTCCGCAGCTGGTGATGATTTTTCCCTGAAGGGCTCTGTTTGGATTTGTGTTTCTTGCCAGGCCTCTGGTGATCGTGCTGAGGCAAGTATTTGGTAGCGGGTGCCTGGCTCTTGGAGGCAATGTTCTTCAGGTCAAGTCTGGCCAGCCGGAGGGCCACCGAGAGCTGGTCCTCGGATATCGTGGTGAATTTGACTGGCGGTTCTTTGGGTTCTCCGGGACCAGAGTCCGAGGTCAGGGTCCCCCCAGCGAGCCTCTCTATCACCAGGGGTCCCGGATTGCGGTAGCGGGTGGCCAGGTTGCTGGGCAGGCTGGGCACCTCCAGGTTGAATTGCAGCTGATTCTGTTGAAGCATGGCTGGCCTTGCAGTGCAGATGTTAATTCAGACAAGCCACAAAAGGTACGACCAATACTTCATCACGCTGAATCTCATACAGGTACGTGTAGCAAAACTTACTCTGGTTAAAAGTATAGAGATGACAGTTTATTACTAAAGGGCACAAAAAATAAAGGGAACCCTTAAACTTTGAACTCAACTTGGCAGATGCATGTGAGTGTGTCATGCTCAACATGCTCAATAACTGGGGGTTGATGTCAAAAAAGGGCAGGGTTTTGAGGGAAATTACGAGGGGAAACTCTGACTGTTTTAACACATGATACATGGGTCGAGTTTGGGCAGTCTGTTCTTGACACGGGTTTCTTGTTCTTGCGCTCGGACGTCGGGAACATGACTCAAGAACACTGTTCTCAGAACAGGATCACAGACCACCTCCTCGTCAAGGTTTTACAGGAACACACAGAAAAACTTTTGATTTGATTTTGATTTTTGAACAGCTGCAAAAAGTAGAGAGATGGCTTACAAAGCCAGAGACAATGGGAAGTTTTGCAAAATTAACATTAATCACTTTTCATAACACAAAAATTAATTAATGTTCCTATTTAATTAGAAAAGAATTCAGCCCAGTTATCCAAACATTAACTCTCGAATAACGTTCATGTTCATGGACGCCGCTGTGTTGCATGTCGCTTGCCACTAACCACCAGCAACAACTGTTTGTCTGTTCCCAGCATTCGAGCGGCCGACCCACGAACATCAAATTGACCTGCCCGTGAACATTCAAGAACAAGCCGCCTGAACTCGGCCATGGTAGATTTACATTTGCATGGCAAGTCACTGATAGTCATGGTAGTCACCGTACTTTGTACTACCAGGCATACTATCATTAGGCCCACATGGCCTAGCAGTAGCACTAGCAGACTAGCCTAGGCCTGGGCGGCCAGCATGGCCAGCACCACTGCACTGGTCATGGCGCTGGTTTAGCCTATTTTTGGAAAGCAAACACATTATCAGGGACCGGTTCACAGTCTATCCACTAATGACGTCATGAAAACCCTTACCGTTTCACTTACATCTTAGATGGGGTAAGTACATGTACGACGTAGAGTAACTTGTGTACGATAAAGTAACCAGATGAGGTATGCGCTTCAAATAAGGCGCCATTTTGTATCCATACGTGTCTGAAGTACTTGGCTGCGGCTTAAAATTATAAGCAACTGTAAGGGGAGAGGCTATGGCCACAACCGTAGACTACTGCGTAATTTTCAAGCCGCGGCCAAGTCATTCGAACCTAATAATTTCATCATACGAGGGCGCTGTTCACATTCTGTGTGCATGTGGTGGAGGTCAGTTTTTTGTTTCACTGGGTATGCGCAAATATTCAGAGGGATAGGAGGTTTCCATGATGTGGTATATAAGAACTACCCTGTAAGATGGCTACCAAGCAAATCCTGTATAATCGGCAGTGGGATAAATCTGTGCCGGAAATGGGGGAGGGGATGAGTTTCCCGGCCATGAAAATTTGAAAGGGGGGGGGCACCTGTGACTCTACTGTGGTCGATGTTCATAATATGACGTACATGTACATGTATTATCCATTCAAATGACATATTTAAGACCTATAGCATTTTAAACATTTTTAGGGCGAATGCATTTTAGACGTCGAAAGTCTGAGAAATTCTTCACAATCCGCTTTTTTTTTGCTCACTACAAAAGTGATAGGGGGATGATCCAATCCCCCCTAAAAAGGGGGGGTATTATACCCCACCCCCACCCCCGGGATTTACGCCCATGATGCTCAGTTTTGTGCGTGGTCTACTGCTTCGCCTGCTTGAGGGATGAACACAAACTGCTGCAGACTGGTTTCTGATGGCTGCGATTACATATCTAAAAAACTTAGAGGGCCTGACAATTGGATTCTACAAGAATCTTTCTCAAATGCTCCTGACTTTAAGTTATGGTCATTAAGTCAAATACACAGCTGCCAACAAAACCTCAAACTATACACGTGCCGTATCAGCGACCAAAACTTAATGTGAAGTATTTGTGGTTCATTTGAACAACGGTAACGAAAAGCCAGTGCTAATTTCAGAGACGAAGCCTTAGCGGAAAGAAGTCGAGAGTACCAAAAAGCAACTGAAGATGGACAATAGGCTAATTTCTGTGAATAATATTATTATCATTTGTAACATTTTAGACCTCACTTCCTACTTTTAATAAAAACAACAAAGCATGCACCTCTGTAAATGATATTGTCAATAATTATGCTGCCAACATTTGGCATAGCGCAAACCGACGTGACGTAAGCAAAAATTTTCGTAAACAATATTATATATTTCAAATGACTTTGCAAAATGTCGGGAACTATTTACATAATGTAATATACAAGATTTTAAAATCGATATTTTTGAAACCTAAAATCCAGATTTACCGATTTTATTAACAACCTGTAACTTGTAACATGGACCATTAAAAAACTTAATGCAAAACTATTTTCAGACAAAAAAGACCCACAGTGCACTAGTTTCTCTGGCACAAAATGCGTAACATAATGAATACATCTGCATGCTACTGAAAACAAAACGCACAAATCCCTACGGTGAATTTTTAGATTTTGTTCCATTCCGGGAAAACTCAGAGTGAATGCACGTCTCCCTAAACTTCAGCATGACCCTCGATCAATACCGATAGAATGGATACTGTGAAACAGTCTATTTTACCTCGGCTCAGTGGCGTAACTACGGGGGCATGTGCCCCCCCCCGCGAATACCCGCACCTCCGGGTGCCTCCATTTAATAACCTTTGCTGCAGCTTAATTGTCTTTTGGTGCCTCCCTTGAAAAACAAAATTCGAGAAAATCGAATGCCCCATAGATCACCCCGAGAGGCTATGCTATACTACACCTCGACCTAAGAAGGCAGTATTTGTCATATAACACGTCACCCACAGCTTTTGCTTGCTTTATGAGATAACTGATTGATTTGATCGGAACATATTAAATAAAAAGTGCGCTCGTCTGAATCAAGAATTTGTTGAAACTTTACCACTTCTTAATTTCCAAACTACCCATTCACGGAACGCTAGTACCAGTGCAATGCACTAATATCAGAGAATTATATTTCTGTTATCTGTGGTACAATGCCAGTGGCCACGCGTATAGTTCTTGCTATGGGTATAGTGTTTTGGTTGCTATAGTATAGTTCCTCCGGTCATGAAAACCAAAAGAGCAAAAATAGCGAATGGCGTTTGACATGACCGGCTCTCAGCCAATAAAGATACAGTCTGTGGGTGATGTGTCATAATCTATATTATAATATCATACGGTGCCCCAAGGCGAAAATTTCTGCTTCGAAAGGCACTTTTGCATTATCAGCCTTAAATTAGGAGGAATTCTAGCAGTTAATACAAGTACTCAACATTTAGTGTTGAATACTTTAGTAGATATTTAGCTACCAACAGCAAAACTAAACGGTATTTAGACAGCTACAAGTAGTCAGCGCCCTCTTTGATGCGTATGGCTACCTGACTGCAAAAGCACGCAGATTCCATCGTTTCACTTCAGTCCTCCACCCATAAACGAATAAGTACACATACATGATGTAGATGTTACTAATTTTGCCATGATTGAGTAATGCTTTTAAACCCGCTATACATGTAATAGCAAACCTGCCTCTGGCAGTTGTGATTTTTAAGGCAGATTTGATATGCACGGAACGTTATTTTACAAACATCCTAATAGGTTTACTGGTTATTGTGAAGGATGACCTCACACTTGTTGATGCAAGCGTTAACAATAATAAATTGCATGAGATGCTCAGATTTTGGATGTCTTTTTAAGGGGGAAAGAGAAGTGGCAGACTGTTATTCATTCTTGGGTATAAAGGGCTAAGTACAACAAAGGAATATGTGTACTTTTGTATTCATATGATCGCTGCATACTTCATCAGTATTGGTGCTACTAAAACAAGTGAGATGACTAAATGTGAGGAAATAAATGTCGCTTCAATCAGACTTTGTTACTTTCTGTTGAATTCTAAAAATTAAATGCAGGGTCCCACAAAAAGTGGATATATACTTTCTTTTTGTGATGTGTTCACCTCCTTGGCCTAATAAATTCATGTATACAGAAACTTAGTTTTTTAGGGGGAAGCAAAATGTACCAGGCTATCAAGGTAACAAAGTAAAATTCAGTAAAAGTGAAAGTGCACATATATATCGCGTTTTGTCCACCTTTGCAAGTGGTAAAACATGATTAAATGAGATACTGCGGACCTTGTAGACTATTGTGTGATAGCTCATAGCCAACTCTAAGTTCAAGTTGTATGTTTGCAGAATGGCAATATTACTCCAATATTTTATCTGGAAAATTCAACATTAAAGGGCCTTTAAGAGCAAAACCCTCAAATGGAAAGGCATTTACCCCTTAAGACCAGGGCCGAGACTGCTGCGAAAAACAAACCCTCCGGTCGCCTTAAAGTAAAGGCTCAGTATATAGGCATTACATCACTATATATAATATTTCAATTGTCATGACCGTGTTTTTAAAATTCAACGGCCCTCTTATAACGACCCTGTACAATAAAACTACATGTACATGTACATTATAAACTGTCTTTTACAGTTGAATATAATGTTAAACGGCATTCCAATTTTTGATAATTGACTCAGAAGCTTCTTCGGGTAACAAGTTTGTTTTAATTGAACGGAAAGCCTTATACTCTGTGTTTTAGCCTCCAGGTTGTACCAAGTCTTGCGTTATCGATATCAGTCGCATAACTTGCCCTAAATATGCTGCAGAGCGCCTCTAATTCGTGTAACGTGCGCATGCATTTCCTCTTCCGATGGACAGTTTTCTGCTAGCTCCTTGGCTTTCTCCAGGATAACACGTGCCACTTCGGGCACCGTTCGATTGTGAATGGCTATGCTGGATGTAATTACCGTGTGTAGATCCAGCGGGATTGCAATCACGCTGAATGCTACACCCACGACCGCCATACCCCGCCCCACCGTACTCGCCGCCTTGAATGCTGTTTGACTGGCCACCTCCCCCGCCTGAAAGGCAACTGCGCCCACCCTGACCAGATCGTAGATGGAATCCACCACGTTGAAGATTTGCCTCCCCCCTGAAGCCAAGCCGACAACAACCCTGCCCGCATCTCTCAAACTACGCCAGGTCGATTCAACTCGCTCAAGGGCCGCTTTGAGGTTATCACATGCAATTTTGTCATGCTCAAGTATTTTTTTAGCGCTGGTAGTGGTTAACTTTTGCGTGATGATTTCCGTGAGGAAGCCTCCCACGGTGGTCAACCCACCAGCAGCTCCAACACCAGCCCCAACACCGGCAACAAGCAGTGAAGCGCCAAAGGTGAAAAAGGAGGCAACAAAGCCACCAATGACCAATCCCGAGGCCACGACCCCTACTGAACCTCCAACAACCTGAAAAAAATTTAAATGTCTCCATTACTTGAAGCCAATTTTACAACTTCGTGCCTTTAAAAGATTTGGTGCTTAAGTAGTCTTGTATCTTCAAATTTAAATCTTAAACATCGAGTCTCTGTAAATTTTAATCGTTCTTTGTTCACACGTTGCCAGTCCATTTCAAAAGCAAAACTGTGATCAGTGGAACATTTCTGGGTCAAGTTTCTAGTACCAAAAGTTGCAGATAACCAAACTGTTGAATCACCTGTTGACTACTTTTTGTGCTTGAATTACCTTGGCTATTTTTGCACGATGATGATGTTTTTGGAGGTAATCAGCTAAGTCACGGAGAAGCTGTATGGTAGCCCGTCGACTTCGGACGTAGTTCATGGAAGCATCTTCTAAAGCTCCAATGTCCCTCGCTAGCTGAACAGCCAGGTCCATATCTTAATGTAACGATTTTGAAAAAAAAACCCACTGCGTGAATAAACTTCTTCGTTATAGAACATGTAAAAGTTTTGTACAGGAGCTTATGGATTTCATTAAAGTGACGGGGTCGTGGCTTGGAGTCCATCACTCCGTCAAAGTGATAGGATGCAAAACTTGGATTGTCTACTCCAGAGGATGATTTTATTATCAGAGAGCCTATGCAGAAAAACCCAAATGAGTGCTCCCCTCTTCTGTGTCAGTCCTAACAGAATCGGCGGAATAAGTGTCAAAATGGAATATAAATTCGGACAGCCGACAGTCGAGCCAGTGGTTCATGCGTACAAGCAAGAGACAGCGGACCTCGGTGGGCATGCAGAAGCGAACCCATGTGCTTGCCGTTCCATCCGTCATTGCAACCCCCCATGATTCGTAATTACCAACAAAATATTATTTGTACTACTGTGATAGGTTATTATAACAAACAGGGATTAATATAGATGACAATTGTACCAATCATATCCCATGAGGCTTGGCACTTAAACAAGGAGTATTTAGGTCTGTTTGTGAAAGGAAAATTACAACTTCAAGATGGAGGTAAGTACGTGACTGGATGGATCATGAATAATAAATTAGGCCCACATTAATAATTATAACCCATGCAATCGTTAGGTATACACACATTGAAAAGTACACATCCCTACATTAATTAAACAACACCCGAATAAATCTCTGTCACTTTGGGGTCTTCAATCACATGGTGTTAATTATGCTGTATATTCAACGGTGAGCTTTGTTGAACACGTCGTCGTACTTCGCGGGCGCTATGCACTGGGGACGTAATACGCACTGATAAACGCTTCCGTCTGACAAGAAAATGTGAAATTTCGTATGTTTCACCGTAGATTTCCCAGTCAGATTTGCGTTTAAATGGCATTTAAATTGATATTCAGGTGGTCAGACTTTAGCAAATTGAATCCCTGATGTGGTTTCCTTACACACGTAGTTCATATTAAATTTTGGGCTTTCAAATTCAGTTCTCGATGGGACAAGTTACAGTTGATATGCCATTCATTTCAATGGCTGTTCAGTTTGTTTACTAGACGATCTGACAAGTCTCATGCTGAATTAGCTTTTGTATATTACGTTATAAGCTCCTGCGTATTCTATTTGCCCTGCTCTTGATGAAGGTAACTCGTAAGATTTAATTCATTTTTCATTTTATCAATGTCTTGTTTCATTCATTTATATTAAATTAAGCGATGTTATTGGCTTGTTAATCGAATCAAAACCTAATGACTTAAAGGACAATGTTATGAATTTTTCTGAACTGTTTTGGCATGTTTAAACTCTTCTTTAGTGCATGAAAACTGTTTGATATCTGTTTGGAGTTAAATTGACCTGTAAAGTACACTTTTTCAACATGCAAATTTGCCCAAGGTTTTCTAGACAAAAGAGGGCGCCGTTCGTACGAAAACCACAAAGACACTGTTCAAATTTTTAACGAAAAATTTGATCTTTGTAAACGTTTCTGAGAAACGTTGCTCGATGGCTTATTGGTGTATAATTATACAGCGAATATGGGCGTTTCACAATGGTGGGCCACCAAGGGTCTGCCACGCGTTGGCCAATCAGAGTGCGCAAAATCTGGCGACCCAATGCGCATTTGGAAAGGGTCAATGGATTTCGAGCGTTGTGTGATTGGACAACACGTTACAAAATCTTGGTGGCGCACAATTGTGAATCGCCTGTATTGCCAAAGCACAGACATATAAAGCTGTAGACAGGCATGCTTCTATTCAAAACAACGGCGGGGTAGGCCTACAGTCGCCGAAACGGCACCCGACTAAATGCAAATGCGTGGGCAAATTCACCCCTCGTTATAGGGAATTCACGCACAGTTGAAGAATTCCAGCCATAAACTCTTTTAAGCCATTTTTCGATTATTAATTTAAAATATCCCCTGTTAACATAATCTGGCCCGTGCAGATTCAAAACAACGCGGTTGCAACATTTGAAAATAAGATAATAGCAGGACCAGAGAGAAAACTTTGGGGAATTTTTTGGGACACATGTAAAGAAATATATGCAATCAAAGTGCGTCATGCACAATTCGCACTGAAAGCACTGCCATCCATTGTTTCGCCCACTGCTTGCCCACGCTTTTTAAAACCACGGTTATAGCGTACTGACGTGTGACGTCACTCTGAACTAGAAAGTGCAGTGCAAATGAATGGAGTACGCGCGCGTGTTGGTTCACGCGCTGGTTCTCGCCGCAGTGCCTTTTACACACATAACTGTGCGCGTGACGTATGCACTTCGGTACTCTATATGGGTAAGACTGGCGGTAGGCCCTATATGTGTTAATATATATATGCGTTTATATGACTGTGTGCTAAAGGAAGTGGAAATCTCCAATAGCGAAGTGTCAAAAAATCTATCTTAATTGTGCACGGTCAATGCAGCATTTAGGTTCAGTGCCTATCCGCTCCAAGCGGAACAAAGAGGGCGTGTTTTTTTGGTACCACCTCATAGGCGCGCCATGAGGCAAGTATATGGTTGCACTAGAGACCAAATACGCAGCAATAGAAAACATGCAAAATCGGACCGAAATAGCGCCGCCTATTGACCCTCGTGAAGAGGCAGGCCTCCGTCTTTCACTTGAAAATTCAAGATTATGGCCAGCAGATCACTTTTCGTTTCAATTTTATGGGGGTTAGCCACGAAAAAAAATTATTCGCCTTTTCAGGAAGATACCCCTAAAAATAGTAGTAAAACTATGCGCCTAGCTCTGAACGTAGCCGACCGCCTGTATCCAAAATAGGCCCTCGGTTTTGGGCTTTTTGTGAAAGAAATCCCGGAATTTGAAACTGTCAGTCCCAAATTCGGGATTTCTGGAAATATTTCTAGGATCCCTCCTGATTATGGCATGTCTTATTGTTAAAAAACCCGTGGGATCACAAAATATTAATGAGCAGAAATACAACCATTTAAAACGCACCTATATGCGCGTTTGACACGGAGCACGCTGAGTACGCGTAACTAATTTATTCCTGCATATATGGTCTTTGCGTACACGCAAAACTTGTAACCATCCGTCTTTCTCTTCGCCGATTGGGGATGCACTTCAGCTCGGGGCGGATAAAGGAGATGGGTCTGGCGGTCTATGCTTTTATCTTAGAGATCAGTGGTTTATAATTATGTCTGTGGCTAATCTCGTCCTCATGGGTACGATCTTGCCGTGCCATGTTGGTCCCCACCATGCATGCCTCGCGCGATCTAAATTTGGGATATTTAAATTAGGCCTTTAGTTGGTGTGTTTATGCGCGACTCAGATTTACGCGTGCGTGACGTGCAGGAGAATACAGGGGCACGAGCGTGTAGCCTTTGAAATACGGGTGCGATTCACTTTAAGTTTTTGTGTATCATCCTGAATAGTCAGTGTCATTTTCGACTTCTACACGACCAGACTAGTGAAGGAACGCGCACGCAGCCCATGGAGTTGAGGTTGGTCTGCGGCTGACCGATCTTTAGACCTGAGTTCGCAAATAAATTTTAATTTACGTGCGTATGAGCATAAATGGCAAGTGGAGGTAACAAGCTTGGCCCATTGAAAATGTACAGGAGCACACATTTGGACGTCATTTCTCTCTGTCTCAGCTTCTGCACTTTTTCACCTTTGTCTTTGGAAAACCCTCTAAAAATCATAAACAAGCAGGTATTAAATGCATGTCGTCGGCGCCGTATGCACACGTACCAAAACACAACATACATGCATAACATACTGCGAGTGTGACTACCAACTTTTGTAAAAAATCTACCATATTGGCTGCCCCAATCTTGCCTGTCATTTACACCAAATTCAGTCAGACCATGTCTTGGCTCAGCAGAACTGCGTTTGTGTACCCTGATATTCCCTTCAAGACACTGCTGTGAAATCAGTGACAGTATATCGACAGCTATGCCATGGCTGGCAAGTACTGTCACAATGGCACCGAACATTTTAGCCATAAAAATAGATTTAGAAAGTTCCAGAAACTAAAAGTTAGTCAAGCTTAGGTGACATTTCATGGCAATAACTTGTCTGTAGCGTTGCCGTTACTGCACTAGCGGCGTATCCAGAATTTGGTGTGGGGGGGGGGATAAATCCAAAAGCGAATGCGTCTTCAGGCTCATTCAACATGATGTTGTGGAATAAAAAAATCAAAAGCCTTACTCGTGGTCCCGGTATCCTATCATCCTTGCTTTTATTTGCTGATGTTGTTTCTTAGGGATTTGGTAATAATATTCGATAAACAAAAATACCGAATACTTTCTTTCTCATATACTCACCCGTTCTTTGGAAAAAAAATCCGGAGAAATTTCCTTCAAGGGGAAAGTTTCCCCCTAGCCCCCTCCCCTGCTGGATATGCCAATGGGTTACTGTGGTAATTTAAATCGAGAGCGATACAGTGTGCGCTCACAAAACATTCCTGATGTTGAAGTTGGTGGCGCGTGCTCTTTTTTTCAAAATCATTTTTCTGGAAAAGTGGTTCTGCAGCCGTGGCGTTTCCTGTCATCTTCTCGTGTTGTATCTTCGGACTGCAAAAAGATACAAGCACGTTATGGAAAGCCCATTTGTTACTCCTTCTTTTCATATATATTTCTAAAAAAAAGTCAACGTTGGGTTTTTTTTACTCATGCCTACGCAGGCCGCAATTGTTCGAGGGACATACTCACTTCGGGACTCTGTAATACTAGAAGAACATTCCCACCAGGTCACGAAACAGTTTGGTAACCAGGAAACAGAGCTCATATTTTTGATTGATGCAGTTGAATTTGAATGTGATGCCGATCCGCATCGCTACTACGAAAGGCTCGCGCGACTATGTTGCGCAAGTAACATGTTTTTACCTCTCAAATGAATCGGTAGAGGAATTATCAAATTACCCCCTGACTAACTGGTGGTCACTCAGCAAGTAGTGTACGAGGTACTCTCAGACTGGGAAAACCTACAACCGAACTTAGGTTCTGATCAGCTTCAGATTAGCATAAACCCAGAAGAGACTCTGAAACGGCCCAAATGAGACATATAAAATAAAAATGTAAGCCCTTGAAAATCTGTAAATTTTCCGTTCGTAACCATAGTCTTGAATCTGATTTTACCTACACCCTCAAGGGTTAGGGTTAATGGACTATTTCTATGCATTTCAGCCACTAAAATCAGATGTGTAAATTTCTTGGCCCCCGTCCCACATTTATGGAATAAAAACTTACCCCGTTGTCCATGATAGTTCATGTTTTCAGACGGCTCGTCACGCCACTCTGAGAAACAAAGAAGTTTTACTCTACACTCCCAGACAGGAATTTGTCGAAATGGCCTCCTATACACGGAGCTCAACTCGCTACTACAGTTTCTTGTATGTTATTCACCTCCGTGATCGGGCGGAAGTGAGTTGGTTGCTCTACTGAGAGTTTGTGGGGAATATGTGACCCTGGATTATTTTATTGTGAAAGGGTCGAGTCTGAGCCCGCTGAAAGTACATTATTACATGCTTTCACGCTCTGGGAAAAACCCACTCTTCTCCCGCCACCATGCACGTGTCACGTGTCAACATAACATGTCATATTGTGTGACATCTGAAATTCATAAAAATTAGCAGGGGGCGCGCTCCATATCACTATTTGTGGATGTGAAGACTTGTTCCAGATTACCAAAGTATCCACCTTTGAAACCAAAATAATTTTGTAGACAACTGTATTAGGTGTTCACTACTCACTGATTAACGGATTTATATTCAATCGGTTTCAGGTACACTGTTTCCTAAAAATGGAGTTTATTCCTAATATTGCAAAGGTAGAATTACAGAGTACCCCAGGATTCAATTTTAAACCCTTAGAGTCTATTTGATTGGAAGTATTCAGAATATATGTTGTAAATTATTGTTCATTAAAGTGTTTGTATGAATTAGCCAAACGTTTCGAACTTAATGCATAAAAGCCGTCATTTCTCATGGTTTATGAACACATGACCTCATGGGGGTATATATCCCAGCCCTCTTGTTGGGGAGGGGGGCTATTGAATCACCCCCCCCTACTTTTTGTGGTGAGCAAAAAATTAAAGCGCACTGTGAAGAATTTTTTGGAGTTCACAGCGACTAAAATGCAATAATTTTTAAGGCCAAATATGCCACTCCAATATAAGATTCTGCACGAATGTAATCAGTATTACAAATCCACATCAGTGTCATGAACATTGACTTCTATATAGAGTCATATGATGGCTGGGCAAGTCTTCCCCCCCCCCCAATTTCCGGCACAAATTTAAGCCACTGCATCAGTAACCGATGCATTGAGAGAAAGAAACCAACATGTTTGTAAACCATTCTGGCGGTGCAATGTTTTTCAGACGCTAAATTTTCAAACTCGATGGGGACTGATAACATCACAGAGGGGTAGAGCAAAGCCAATAGTGCTCCCCCTTCCATTTTTGTTTTAGTTCAGGTTTGTGATATTCTTTTATAGCTTACATTTGTTTTTCAAATCGAAAGTAGTTCTACATCTTATAAACGGCTTTTTCATGTGAAGATTTTATTTAAGTATTATTCTAGGCTGGCAGTTTTAGGACCGGGAGCAAGCGGCGGGTTAGGCCATGACGCCATCACACGCACAGTCGGGAGCACTGGCTGATCCATTCGTTCGTCGCCCAGCGCCCGAACAGGGCGCACGGGACGGGCTGATGGCCTTGCACAGATTTTAGTGAAGGAAATAGGTCACGCAGGGTCCCAGCTAACGTTGCGCAGAGCATTGTGGGTAATTTTTGACAAGCCCGAGTGGTTGCGTATGTACGTCTATGGTGACTGTTTTCAATTTGACATTTTCTTCTCACGGCACTTAGTTAGTTCATCCGAAATTGATCAAGGTAACCAATGATTTGAAATATATCGCAGAAAGACATGTGATCAATAATACTGAGTAACAAGATAAATTACCAAGGCCATGCACGTTTTTATGATATGAGCCAATATTTTAGCCTTTGCTATTTTAGATAACCCGCTAACAGGAAGTAACAACCTCGCGGTCGAGGTTGTGCACATAGTAGCCAATCACATGTGCAAAGCCATCAGCCCTTCCCAGCCATTGATCCCATTATTTTCGGGCGCGCTGAGTGCTAGTGCTAGTGAAGAGCTCGATCGAGCGAAGCTTATCCGTAGCTACACAACCTTTCCCCCAGTTGTTACTTATTTTGGAGAACCAGTATGTGTTAGGTTTCACACGGACCGTAGATTTCCCTTGCAATGGAGATCAGTGACACGGAATACTATGAGGACGAGGTTGGTAGCGGCGAGTACTCAGCGTAAGAAAAATGGAGAGAGCATTGGGAGTAGAGCTTGGATCGGATATCAACAAGCAGCTCATTCATCCAGGTAAAGGAGAATTATCGGACTACAGAGATGGAACTAAGGTAGCGTAAACAAGTCATTTGCTAGGGCCTACTGGCTTTTGTAAGTTTTGATGTAAATTACAACCCTGTGCTGAGCTTTAATTTCACATGGACGATGGAGGTGTTCAGCATGTTCAGCGCTGTTACGCTCCAACGGTGTCAGGTCAACTCGCCCCCTGACCGACTCGCCCCTTTCCAGCAACTCGCCCCCTCGTAAACTCGCCCCCTGACCGACTCGCCTCTTACCAACTCGCCTCCTGGCCGACTCGCCCCCTGGCCGACTCACCCCCTGACCGAGTCGCCCCCTAGCCGGCCCTATGTATTAAAAAACCCAAAAA